TCTTATATGTGTCTTTAACTGTCATGTGAGTGCTTGCAACCTACAGAATTTCTTGCCTGGAAAGAAAGTGAAGACCTCCACAGATGTCCTCCAGACGGGATGAGATTACCTCAAAACGTCAGACTGAAGTCCAGGCTTCTGAGTCTCACAGGCACATTGAAGAGGTCCCATTCAGGAGTGTTAATGTGATGCAGTTTCTGTGCCCTGTATACAGGCACTGTCATATTTCACTAAGGACAAAAGAGATTCTCAGGTGGTGACAGGTGAACATAGTGGGGAAGAGCAGTTGCATAAATAAGAGGGTAGTCCAAATCCCACCTATGCTGAAAGTTAAAATATGAGTTAAAATTGTTCTATTTTTAGATATTAGGAATTGAAAACATCAGAACTCTCTCCTTTCTTTCTATAGTAAAAGGATTTGTAATGTTTCAGCCCCCTCCTCAATACAGCAAGATTAAAAGGTTATATTGTTTCGTAGTGAACAGGAGGCATTCTGAAATCCCAAATGAAGCATTCTGAAGTCAAGTTACTTACATACCTTATAAATAATCTGAGCCAATTGTTGCATTATCATAAACTATAGGAAATTACATACCTGCTTTCTAAATGAAAAAAATAATTTTGTATTTTCTGTACAAACACATGCTAGTTAAAATTAGCCAATGAATTTGCAGAGACAAAACCCTTGTCAGACTGTGCTATTATAACAATAAACAAACACCACAAATGAAAGCAGATATTTAGGAGTGTATGGCAAGAGAGCACCACATACAGTAATCAAGTGGCTGTGCAAAAACAGTGAGCATCTTTACCTTTACAGAAACATCCGTTATTTTTAGGCACTTTGCTGTCATATTTGCAGTGACTGTCCTTCACTTTGCTGTCATATTTGCAGTGACTGTCCTTCTCGCCAGTTTAAAACTGAAGGCCTCAAGAAACAAAACCTCACAGCTTGTAAAAACAGAACTGTAAGATTTATATTTCCCATAGACTGGGCACAGACCAATGGGTTTGTAATGAAAAGACAATCTGTGCATTTCTATGGAAATTGGTGTGCCAGAGCTGAAATTTATCTACATTGTGTAGACACTCTTGCTGACCTTTGGATTATATGTAAATTAAGTTTTGTCAATTAATCAGTGGGAATCTTGTATTACAAATAAGTTGTAATTTTTCTGCTGTTCAGGAGAAAAGAACAGTGCCTACTGTATGTGATATCCTAATGCACTCCTGGAAAATCACCACATAGGCAATTAATTTGTTTAACAAGTTTTGTAAGCCTGGGATATTTTATGCTGACCAGCCAAGGGGGTTCTCTCTCGTTGAAGAAAGGGAACCCTATATTTTTAGCTCTGTGATGTTCCATTTGCAGCATTTATCTTTAACATAATTCTGAACACATGCTGCTTGCCAGCAAGGGATATGTATTATATATATTTTTTTTCTGAGGCTGAGACCTGCTCTGGCAATGACTTCAGCCACCACCTTTCCAAAGAGATGCTACAAATCAACTTCAGCACCAGGATATGAAATTGCATTAACAGTAATTATGTTCCCTGCTCCCAGAAGAGACCTGCCCTTGAAAGTCTTCAGCACACCACCAAAGGAGCGCCTGTCAGGCTAAGCATCTTTCTGCATTCTTCTGTTTTGCAGCAGACTACCATACCAAATTACTTGTGAGGCATGTAAAAGCCTTATTCAGGCATACTTCAACCTCAAAAAACAAAACTCATCTGAAATAACTGGTTATTTGCCCAAGAGCAAGAGCTTCTCACTGGAGTGTGGTCCAAATTAAAATGTTTGATACAGAAACAGATTTCTTACAGTCACGTGGCAAACAAATGTATATGCACAATAGGAGACAGAAAAAAAGTCCTTGAGCTGGACTATGATGTTTCCAGTCCCACAGTGCACAGATGAGAGTCCTGGCTCTAGCTGCTTCCTGGCCTGAATGGCTGCTTTTAAACACCTGTGTCCCAAGCCCAGGCAGGGCTGTCACACGGGGTGACTCCACCCTGGCTGAGTGAGATGAGCAAGAGACAGGGCAGCACTGTCAGATTTTGTAGTCAAGAGTAGCACAGTTAACAGCCAGGAAGTTCTGGAAAGCAGAACCAGAGAGAGCACTCTGTGTCACAGACTTACACATGCAAACCATGTATCCAGCATCTTGTAAAAGCACCATTGAGAGGCTGAACTGAGAGCACCGCGTACACGGAATTGTGTTCAAAACAGCAGACAGGAGCTGCTCAGGGAGCCATGGGGAAGCATGCAGCCCTGCAGGATGAATTCCTTGAAGGCACGATAGATGAGGGCTTGGAGAACAAGGCAGGCTGGTCATCAGCCAGTTGAAATTGTGGGGATGACCCAATTCTGGGTTACTCATGAATATGAATCCCCACACCTACTCATCTGTCACTCCATGGATCCTGCTACATGCAAGCAAGCCTGCAATTTATATTAATAGAAAGACTGAAGCAACAAATTGTTCACAGCTGACATGAACACCACCTCCCTGAATGCTCACTATTGTAAAACCTAGGTTCTTCAAAAGAAGACTGATAATTCTTATTGCAAAGCTTAGTCATCACAGCTACATTACTGGGCTTTTTAGTGGATGTTTAGTGGAGTGACTATTGCTATTGTAGGGCTGACTGAGGTCCAGTACATTAAATGTGTCTCTATAAAGATGTTTCCAAGTTGGAACAAGTAAATGTTGGGGTTGTCCCTTTGTACTTTTGAGTTAAACACATACAGTATGGAAAAGAGTATGGAAGTACTAGCTACTTTGTAGAAAAGGCACTATAACTGATCTAACTGTGGTAACTAGGTACATGCCCATGCTACAGGTATCTGCAAAGAATTTATTTCTCTCTCTGACTAAGAAAGTTATTCTACACTCATGAACAGGATGACTGGTTTACATATTGGATTAGCACTGGTTCAGGTATGTGGTAAGAACAACTCTCATGGAAGACATGATGAGATTCATGGAAAGATGTCTGAACTGCATTTCCTGTTTTCTACCAGTTCCCAGAGGGAAATCAAAAAGACCTTTTCACTAGTGCAGTTATACACACATTACAGTTTGTTTGCCTTACTGTGGCAATTTGATGTGAGATTTTATTGTACAGTACAGTTGTGCTAAAAAAAGGAGGCAAAGAAATAGACTGTGAAGCTTCCCCAGAAAACATCACCAGATAACAAATACTTCATTTTGGATGCTGACATTTTATTTAGGGATATGGTGAAAGAGTTAAAAAGAGCAGTAAAGAGACAAGTAGAAGAGACTCCCTTTTCTTGACAGTCAGATTAATCTCTTTGGGGATTACTGCTGGAAAAATATCTCTATCAAATATATTAATGAAAAGGAAGCATTGACAACAGCCATAAAGGAACAGGTATTACATCTGGGAAGAGGGAACTAAACCTGCACCTTGATTCTTTGTCAAGAAATGTAAAAACTCACTTGGACTGAATTCTAAAACATTTTAATTTAGCATTAAACTACATAATGGAGATTATGCAGGGGAGTTATGGACTCCCTCATACATCCTTGTTCAGGAGGGTTATTATTTTTTGCAGCTTTTAAGTCCAGTGTGGGTCTCAAGGCTGATGTCAGGTACACGTCCTGAAAGCAGCAATCCAAAATGTGAATTGCTTCTCCATGAGACTGAGGTCTGATGAACCATTAAAAGGTTGTGACCAGCCTGAAAGTAATTTAAAGAGGAAGGAATGTGCCACTGCCACAGCACTGCAGACATGGTACCAGCTCCCAGTGCAAGGCTGTATGAGACAGGTTAAAAACAGAAACCAAAGGAAGAAGAGAGGGGAATGACAATTTTTCTTTCACTGTGTAAAAGGGAAGTCTAGGGGGGTTTCAGGAGCAGTTGTCAGAACAGATGAAAGAAAGGACAGAAAGACTTGTGTCCCTTCCTACAAAGCAACATTTCTGATCTGGCTATGAAAAACAACAGAATGACTGGACAGTCCTCCACCATCCTTTGACCTGCTGGTCTCAATGGGGGTATTTCTAGAGTGATGTTTGGTTTTCTTCTTTTGCACCTTAAAATTTACAATCAAGAATTCAGTGCTATTCTTTGCTTTCAACTGACATTGTCTCAAGATATCTTTGAACTGGTCTTGAAATTGAATCTAGTGAACCTGACAAACCTCATGTTCCTACTGTTTCTCTAAAAGCAGTCATCCACATAAAGGGATAACTACATCTTGAGATGTATTTGGGAATTTCAGGAGTTGAGGTATGCCTGCCACTAAGCTGCAGGAGTCATACTGAGGTCTACATATATAAACTGGTACCCCTGAGCAAGAACAGACAGCAAACACATAGTTAAAGACAGAAGAGAGTCTCCAGACTTAGCACAAGTCTTCTGAAACATGGTGCATCTTATCTTTGGCCTTAAACAGTGTGAAGTAGTAGGAGAGAACATTCAAAGGTGAATTCACATTAAAGGAAACAGAAACAAAAACGTTTATAAAGGGAAAAACTCCAGAAAGCAGAACCACAGTCATCCTTGAAAAGCACTGTAGTGGAAGCAAAGGGTTTGCTGCAGCTGTCAAAACATGGCAGTATGGTCAAGAACAGGATGGATGCAGAGTGGTCTGAACTGCTTCTCCTCCAAGGAGAGAGTCGTAGATCGAGTGTGCTGCACTGTTGCACAAGGTCAGGATCCACGAAGTTTGAACCACCCTGTGGGCAGAGGTTGACTGCACAACTGCACTGCTCCTCAGAGCTGTACTACTTGCAGGCAAAGCCTGTAAATCAGCACACTTCTCTCAGTTATGAAGCTATTTCTAATAAATGTGTGTAACCAGATCCATGTTTGCTCTTTATAGTACCAAGTCATGTTGAGAACTGACCAAGGATCCGAGAAGGGCTCAACCTTCAAAACCCAGTACCAACTGAGCTGAAATTAAACCTGTTTTGTTTACTACAGAATAAGCCAACCTCAGTTTATGTACTGTTTATTTTGAATTAAAAATAAACTGCTCTTCAAGCACATGCCAGATATTATGTATGTGAATGTTGCCAAGCTTGGACTATAACTTATACTTGTGTCCAAATTACAAGAGTATGCTTATATACATGGGGATATGTGCACATGCATGTCACACAATGCTTGTTCTTTACTGTTGGACTATTCTTGTACCATTTTACTGTTTATTGCATTATTCTTGAAGAAAAAAGGTAGCAATCCAGTACCTGCTTATTTCATCCAAGCACTGTACTTTGTTTTTCACAGTAACAGAGTAACTCAGCATTTCTGAAAAGCCAGTGGCTTTCAAGCTGTTTGTCAGAGGCCCTATAGTAGGTCTTGGCTGCCCTCCTGCTCCTTTTAGCAGAAGAACAAGGAGGACTAGTGGCTATGCCTGACTAAATCCCACTGTCTCTTTTGCCTCTTTTTTGCCCTGTGGCAGTGTTCTTTTACATAGACTCCATTATTTTAGCTTAAAAACAGCAAGGCATGTTCCATTTCCCTGCTCAAGGAGGCAGAAAAAGTCAACAAAACAACCCCAGTAGATAATTTTCATTTATCTACTTTTGAAATAGGAAAAAAATTAAAACACCAAAAAACAAGCCCAAATAAAGAATGGGATTCCTCCTGTTACAAACCCCAGTAAGTTAATCTATAAAAACTTTGAAGATGAAAAATACGTTGTAAAAAAAAAAGTATTACCCACTCAACACAGTACATAACTTTTCCTATATAAGAAACTAGACAAAATTAAAATAGTTAAGTCTTTAAAAAGGGCAAAATTCTGCAACAAAAAAATAATTACTCAACACTACTAAGGTTAGACTACACATTATGCCAATGCATTCAATTGCACAATTTTTGCAACACAACAATGGTCTGGGGTGTGTATGTGCAGGTGTTTATGTCTATTTGAGGGAAACAGTGCAAGAATACTAAGAGTGACCGTTGCCATTTCAAAGGAATATTTCAGAAATAATCAAACAAAACCCCTACAAATACCAGTACACATCTCAAATACTGCAAGTCACATTCTACAGCCCTTGACATTAAAAAAAAAAGAAAAAGCCAGCAGAATTAATTCAAGTACATTTGGAGTCAGTCCCTTGTGAACAACTGTTTTTTGCACTTTAGTTGCAGTGAAGGTGGACAGAGCTCCCCAAAAGACACAGAAGTGAGTGCATCTTCCCCAGCCCCGCAGAGTAAGTCTGAGTTGAGGTACAATTAATTATCTGTGGTTTGCTCAACATTGCAGATGCCAAAACTTGAATGAAAAATTATGCTTGAAAAACACTTTGAAGAAAATTACATAAAATAATCTCTTAAAATGAGAAGCTAGTTTTGTGTAAGGGTAGTCTTTTTGGTACGTAATCCTGTCAGGACGACAAGCATGGCACGCCTTCCCAAATTACGTTTGCCTTGGAGCTAATAACAATAAAGAAACCTTTACATTTTCCTGGTCATCTTTCTGACCTGACGTACCCTTTCCCATGAGCCTTGATCCACCACCCAGAAAAACCAGCAGCTATCACACCCCAGCTGAAATGTACATTGCTTCTTCACAACTTGTGTTCCATAGGAAAAGCACTTCCCCCTCCACGTTTCACTTGTCCTTTGAAAATAACAGTGGGGAAATCTGCTGCTGGAGTAGTTAAAGCCTGGTGAATTCCCTGTGGTGCTGCAAGTCCCCTATGCTCTCGTAGTCGTTCTCTCCTGAAAGAGCAGTGTGGTTTGTGGTGGGCACCGACAAGGTCCTGTCTTCCTCTTGGCTCACTGACTGGATAGCTTCATAGTCCGGCTCCAGCTCCCCGTTTGGTCTGTCCGCTGACTGAGGCACAGTGGTGGAATTGAGGGTGTTTTCAAAGTCCTTCACACTTGCATAGAGGCCACTGCAAATAGACGGGGACCTCTGAGATGCAATTTCTTGAATGCAGGTGTAAGGAGAATCCAGTGCCTTGATGGCCTGTCCCGGCTTACTCACCGATGAGTACATGGCTGAGATCTAGGAAAAGGAGACACCTGCTGAGCATGGAGCATGGCATTGTGCAGCAGTCTGTACCCTTGTACTACAAGGATGTCAGTTATTTAAGAAAAGACAGGATCTTTTTTGTTTTTGTTTTTGGTTTGGAGTGTTTGGGGCTGGTTGGTTTTTGTTCATTTGTTTGTTTAGAGGGAGATCATTCTGGAGATGGCAATACTTCTTACTTTTTACTGATTTCAGCTAACAAAAAATGGCTTGTCTGCTCATCTATACTTCAACTCTTCTCAGTATTAGATAACATTAACTCACTTCAAGATCAGGTTATTCATTAATGGCTGAGAATGCTTCTCCCAGCAGAAGGCATTAGCTCATTTAGCTCATTGCCAAATTTGTGTTTAGTTTTATGTCCAGAAAACATTTATAAATGGCATGGTTGCACTAGAGATGATCATAAACAGCGTTATTTATGTTTAACTTTTCTCTTTGTTTAACTCTCCTCCACTTATCTGACCAACAGACAGTTGGCCATAAAGAACAGTTTATGTTCCAGTGCTTTTATTGTACTTCAGTTTACTTCCTAGAGCCCCAAATTTTGCAAGGGGAAGGTGGAGCATATGTTTCAAGAGACTGATGATTATTCTTCTTGAGAAGGCCTTGTCATCCAAATCAAGAAATTATCCTAACAATCAACTAACTGTGGCCTCCTATTATTTTCTGACACCATTTTTAACCTATGGGCCTGACCCAGCCATATGTTAGAATACTTCTGATTTTAGGAATGGTTCTCTGTGCAGAGAACCTTGGGCTTTCCTTTTCCTTTCACAAAAGTTTCACCTTTCTTAGATTCTGCTTAATCACGCAGAGCTTATGCTAATTTCTGCCTAAAAATTGGTCTCTAGTTAGTTACTGAATTTCATGCAAGATACCTACCTCATCTTCTGTGAGAGATGGATCTTCCTCTCGAGACTTGTAAGACACTGAACTAAGCCTCTGTTAAAAAGAAGAAAGAAAGAAAATAAAAGGCTCATTACCCATCAACAGTGTGAAATCTATAACAAAATCCTCCCATTATAATCAATACATTATATTTTATGGTCATTTGCTCTCAAGTTCCATTATACACAGCTAATACCCCCACTATTCAGAGTACTTCTCTGGAGATAACAGCCCTGAGAGGTTAGTAAAGCTTTTTAATGTACCTGCTTTTGTCCTGACCTGAAAAGGGTAAAAATAATGTATTGGTTAAAACAAACGCTGCACCACTGTATCCCTGCCTTTACACCTCTTATGAAGTATCTGCAGAGGGTTCTGAACAATTAAAGTCAGCTTGTGATACACCAGTTGCGCTTTCACAGGGTTTTCAGATACGCTTTTAGATGACCAAAGAACAATACTCAGCTGACACCTTCTGAACGATCGCTACCCTTCATTCTGTAGATCCTGGACGTGCTGCATGGGAGAGCTGTGTCCTCCACCCCTGGAATGCTGTTCCTGTGCAGAGGTGCTCAGCAGCCTGGCCTCACAACCACTCAGACCTGCTGCAGCCACCCTGAGCTGGAGTCAGGTCACACAGCAGAGTCACTGAAGGATGGAGGGCTTGGTTTGCTATCAAGTCTAATTTCAAGCATCTAAAGTGTTCTGTGTAAAACAGGTCATGAAACATCAGGGGAAAAGCATTTTGCTCTTGTGAAAAATGCCTTTGGACCTTTACAACAACAAAGACCTTGCTGCTGCACAGCAGCTGTGGGATGCCTCCTCTCTGGGCCAAGAAGGTTTTGCTGGACTCCTGCTCCACAGCGATTCAGAGGAAGCCATGCAGTACTGTAAGAGGCTGTATTTTGGACTTTCACAAAACTTCTCCAACTAAAATAGTTCATACCACCTCCAGTGCAAGCCAACATGGAGGACTAGAGCTATTTTAACACGTCAATAAAATACCACTTCCAGGCACACAACTTGTTTGATTTTTTTTTTTTTCCCCTCAGAGACTCATTGTGATAGATTATTTCCTCCTTCCATTTTCGTGTTATTTTTACTTCTGGTAAATACCAAACATCAGGTTCCCGGGCACTTCTGAACTTCTGACAGACCATGGCCCAAAGCACACTGAAGTTCTGCCTGCTGCACCTGAAGAGCTTCCCATACACCAACCAACTCCCTCACTTCTTTCTCCTTTTAATCTGTGATTTGTTTACTCTTAAAAAAACCAACCAAGCAACCAAAAAAAAAAGGCAAAAGAAAAAGGAAAAATTCAAATATATATGTTGGCCGTGTATTAAACCTGCTTCACTACAGCAACTTGCTTTAGTCTTTCCTATCTGCATCTTTTTCTGCTGGGGAGTAAGCTACTAATTTCATCCTCACACATTAAAACAAGCACGTGCTCATAAAATTCTTCAGTGATTTTTCTGTCATCGGTGTGTCTATAAGCACCATGTGTCAGGACCCCTTCTACAGTTTCCCACTCAAGTACTGATAAATACCCCAGGCTGTTTGCCATCCTGTGCTGTTCCCCTGATACACCATTCTTTCTTCTAAATGTGAAGCTTGTGACACATCCGTTTTGGAGGATATTGTTATCTTAAAATCTTAAGATTTTAAATGGGAAACTTAAATTCCACTGGCCCCTAAATATTTCGTACCTAGCAACATTTTAAACAATGCTGAAACCTCAACAGTAACAACACAAACCACACATGTCCTTATTTGCCTTCTGCTTTCCTTTCATTCCTTGACAGCACTTGGTATTTTGCTCTTTGGCTCAGCTGCTGCTCCTGACACGGGCAAAAGAACAAGAACATTCTCCTTTGGTACATTTTTAAGAGATGTTTTGCTTATCCTCAGATTGTTTAAAGATGAAATCAGATGGCAGCAGATAAATGGACACACAGATAGCACCTCCACCAGTGCTCACTCTGGAAAGACCTGGGTGAAAAAGGAGATGCATACTCCCTTTTTAAATAAAAGAAAGAACTAAAGAAATCTATTCTGCTTTTTCAGTATTATTAGAAGAATGATGTTCAAGGTTTTGTAGGTGATAGAGGCCTGTAAGAGGCCTTGTGCTATTAAAGGTGTCTTTCTTCACCAAGTCTTTCCAAAGGATTTGGCTGGGTCAGAGCCGAAAACCAGTTTAGTTAAATTTTCATCCATTATTTCACACCTGGCTCTTAAAAGGTGCCTTTCTAGTTTTCATGCAGCTATATACAGGAATGGTCTCTGGCTTGGTCTACCTAATTTTCTCCCAGACTGGAGTGCTTCAGGGACTGGCATGGGCTGGGGATCACACTGGCTGCCCTCTTTTAGATGGTGAGACTGAAAGAGCTTGGACACAGTCTGTTCTCTCTGTTGGCAGGTACAAGCCTTGGTTACACAGGTGCCTCCCTGCCTGTCCCTTCTGTGTGCCCTCGTTACAGCGAGGGAGACTTGCATGCCGTACACACAACCTCTGTCTTCATCAGGGCCAGGGCAGAAGGTTGAAGAGTTTGGGATACAGATGTCATGCTAAACAAAGAGTTAAGTAGACTCATAGAAAGGAAGCAAAACCAGAAACACCTATGGAGTCTAACTAAAAGAGTTATCAGTGTAACATATATTTCCATGAACATCTTGGTTTTGCTTGCCACATCAAAAAAACCAGGCGTTGCTCTGCATTGCTTGAAGCAGCAAAATACAGGGAAAAACTATCATCATCACAACAGAAAAACAATCCCACAGCCCCCTCCCCACACAATGCCAACAATAACGACATTTATATATTCCATCAATTACCATCTCCAGCTCTGCTGCAGCTGCAGCTCTCAAGGACAGGACAGGCACACACCTCGATGCATAATGCATGTACCCAGCAGCACGCACGGCAATGATCTGATGCTGCCCAAGATTTAACTCAGGGTGGCTTCAGCTCTGAATAAATTTTAATTAGACAAACACCTTTTTTTCCTGCACTTAGGGGACTGCATGTGTCATCTCTTGATTAATCCTTCAAAACCTGAACCATTTTAATCAATTCCCACTCCTGGCAGTTACTGACGCTGCAGACACGGTGTGCTGGGGAGCTACAGAGCAGCAAAGGCTTTTCCTTTGTATTGGTGCCTGGGAAATACAATTACTTTCTGCTAGTCTTTTCACACCTGGTAGGAAAAATATCACTTTTACACTAAGCTGTTTATCTAAAAGTCTAATTAGAAATTACTTATGGCTGGAATGTGGGAGGGGGCAATGTTGCTGGATTATTGTTGACAGTCACATCTTAATTTTTTACTTAATGAGATCATTGTTGTACAAATGTGCAATGAAGAGTCTAGCTAAATAATTTTTATACTGCAAGAAGTCTTCATTTTATTCATTTGGGCTATATTGTGCCTTACAAGTTACATGGTTAGTTATTTATTTAACAAGATACTCTTCTGCCTTCTTCCTGGATTACTGAAATTCTTCAAGAAAGATAACAACCAGAAACAAGTAACAATACCTCAGCTCTGCTGTGATTTTTACATAAATATTTACATTTAAAAGTCACATTGCATCTTAAAAACTTTTTTGAAATTTATGGTAACAATACCTCAGCTCTTTTAAATGTAAATATAAATATTTACATTTAAAAGTCACATTGCATCTTAAAAACTTTTTTGAAATTTTCATCAATACCTACCTAATATTATTTGATGACTTGGACACCAGAAACCTGCTAAACCTACCGTTCTTTCATTCACAATTAATAAGAAGATATCTAAACATTCTGAAAAATGCAAACTCAACAATTTATGAAAAGTCTCTACTATGATCTGAAAGCATCCTTAAAATGTCTTCTGATAAAAAACTACAAAGGGGAAAAGAAACTGCAGAAAATGTCCTAATTTTGTATTTCAAGGAATTACCACAACTCGTTCCTAGTGAGGAAGCATAAGCTGCTGAGAAAACTTCATTTTTGGCTGTGATTTCAGCACTTAAATTCCTTACACTCTGTTTATATGTGATATACAGAATTTGACAAATATAAAAGCGTGCAGCTGCAGTCTCTCTCTCTTTCTATCCCTCTCTCCTACAGCAAAAGACAAAGTGAGTGCCTAACACTTGCACAGCTAAGTCAAGGTGGACCAATGAAAGAGGCACATCTAAAGTAAGGACATCCACCAAGGATGCCCCCCTCTCCTTTTTGTAAATTGCAGTTTCATTAGGAAAAAAAAGAAGAGGGGGCTTCAGAACAATATATAGATGGTGACAGAGATACTGGATGCCCTTTATAATAGCTTCCACAAGTATAATACCATCAAACAAAGAAGCAAAAGCTTCCTATGCAATTCCTGGATAATATTTTGGGAAAAGCCTTATGTAGTGCATAGCTGCAACAACTGAAAATACAGGCAGCAATAGAATGAGCATATAGCTCTAACACAAAGATTCTACTATACACTATAATATTTCTATTTACAGTCTTGCTTCATCTTGAGTGGGCTTTTTTCCTGTTATTTTTTTTGTTACTGAAAAATAAAATCCTCTCCCACCATATGTTCTCAATCATTATTTGGCTGTTTGATGAGGACAAATATTTGCAGTATTTACCTTTTCTGGTTTACTCGCTCCTTCTGTCACTTCTTCTTCCACTTCTTTTTCTTGCACATTTTCATTTTCATCAAGAAGTTTCATGGGTACTGGAGGGGGAAGCTCATCCTCTACATCTGGTATGTTGTCAAGAGGACTTTCTGAATTTGCACTTTGGCGACTCTTCTTATTTCGGTCAACAGATGCATACTCTGCTGACTCAATTCTGCACTCAGGAATCTGATTCTGACCTTCAGAAACTGTCAGTGAAGCCTTTGATTTGCTGTTAGAGTTCCCTTCCATGCTGGCTACTGCTCCAACATCTTTAATTTCCTTCACAGTTTCATACAAGCAGTCTTCAACTATGTTCTCCTGAGAGGAACTGTCTTTCAAGACTTCATAAGGCCCTTCCATTCCAAGACCTTGATCATTTTCTGCATTTCTAGATGAGATTATAGTTTCCATGGGGTTGTTAGGGGGAATACTGGGTAGTTCCCGGCTCTGGTGACACTTTATAGACTTTCCAAGACCATCCTGTTGATCTAGTAGATCAGATGTCTGTACTTCTTCATAAGGCTGGATACAGGCAGCTGTACTGTCCTCAGAAAGAACTAAAGAAAATTACAGAGAAGTATTACAAACAAAGGCTTAGTTAACTAAAAGGTGTGATTTGGTACTCTCTACATCACTTTGTTTTTGTGACATGCTGGAAAGGGTAAATGATGCTGGAAATGCCTGGTGATTAGTGTGCTTTTTGCTTATCAAAACGTTTCAGTTACAGACATTTCTGCACTCTACTGGTAAAATATCTTTCTCACAACATCTAAAACAGTCTGTACACCCCCAAGTCACATTATATGGCAACAGCATTCACTGTCAGAACAGGGGGTGGGAGGTTAGCTGTGCATGGATATTCAGCTGCCTTGTACTCAGTTTCACTGAATGATTACAGAGTGCTCAGCAGTCTCAGATGGGAAACAGGTGGGAGGCCTCAAACCAAGTGCCTTAAAAAATCGTCGTTAGATTTTCCTCTTTGCATTTCCCCATTCTTTGGAATCAAAAGGAAAGCATTCCTTCTTCCTCCCCACCATCCTTCAGCTTGTTTAACATGCTGGTCCAATTCTGGTTGGAATTGCACTTCTCTCAGCTCTCCCTGCACGCCACAGCAGAAGCTCCTCATGGAGAGCTGAGCCATGCTTCTCTTAGTCTCACAGCACATAATGTTGGCTGACAACCTACTAACGAGCTGGCCATATGCACAAGAGAGAAGACTAGACTTCAGGAGGTAGTGTCAGGCAGAACATGTTGTTTCAGGTCCCAGAAGTGGGCACATGTCTTTGTCACTAGAGGGTATTAGGGACTGAAATGTATGGGGCTTCTCATCTTACACCACACGTGTGACATTTACATGCACTCGTGGACATACACAAGCATGTTTCAAGCATGGTAGATAACTTTATCTCACACTATTTCTTTAAAAAATCATTTCTGAACAGCTTTACTTTTCCTAGCACAGTTCCTAGGGCACTATCTCAACAAAAACAACCCATTCTTCTGTGTTCTTCAGTGTATTTGACATGGTGACAGAAGGGTTGCCAAAGCAATCAATGCCTTTGATTTGGTGGTTGCCATGGACATTGCTTTCTCTTCTGTTCAGGGCATGCAGACACAGTCAGCACCTGCAGGGAGCCATACCCTGACTGCAAAACTCAGGACAGAGCTGGAGGTGTGAGATGATAATCACTGAATGGGAGATGGGAGTTTTCCCTTTCTGGTCCTTGATTCTAGAGATTTCTGTGCTGTGCTGAGCACCCTTACAGAACCCAGAAAGCACACACTCCATTCAGGCTGGAGGGGATAACCAAAAGCAGTGAGAGCTCAGGTTTCTCTATTTTTATGGTTATGGGTGGTAGAACAGAAGGGGTTGGGGTAGCTGAAGGGTTGGCATAGATAAGACAATGCTGGCAGGTTGGACAAAGGAAAAAAACACAGCGTTTGATGGTTCTTCTTCCATAGCCCATCCCCTGCTCAAAAAGCTATCAGAAACAGTAATAAAAAGAACTACTAACAAAAAGTGCATGAAGTGTAAGTAAAAAATTAAAGCACAGGGGTTCCTGTTATTCAGAAGAGCTGTTATGCAGAGTATAAGCTGAGTATAATATCAGACAGTCTGAAAACTGTCTGCTGGTTGACAGCACACCTTTTAGCAGCAGCTCTGACAGCTGCACATGTGGTGACTCATGGCAGAGAGAAATACTTCCATTCTGCAGGGCTTTGCTCTGCACATCAAGTCCCTCAGGGAACCACACACCTACATACACAACAAGCCAATGGATGGGAACAGCAATTAGCTGCAAAAACAAAGTTTAAAGATTACTTTGGATACTTGTCTCTAAGGGGTAAAGTCTGAATAGCTTAGCCTCTGCTTGCAGAAGATGAGGAGAGAGCTTTAAGTTGGAGTGCAGCCCCTGGTGTTGATGTTAGTGTGAAGACAACAGCTGGCTCCCAGTGGCTCTGAGCTGAGAGTGAGTTTATTTTTAGGTACAGCTGAGTAAAATATTTTCCAGTGATACTTCAGGGTGAATCATTTTGAGTGTTCCACAAAGCAAAGACTAAGGGAAAAAAAAAGGAAGCCTATTTATGTTGCCTGTTTTCTAAAATAAGAAAATATAAGTGACAGCACAGCACAGTACTGTGACCTAAAGCTGTAATCCCTGGAGGGGCACCTGAGATCTGTCCACACCCTCCTGGAGCACTTTTGAAACTCTAAGGCGCAGCTTCATCTTCTGGTTTTATCCCAGTTCCATAGCTTACCAAGATTAGGGAAGGTCCTATTCTCTGCCTGATCACCTGGTCAATCTGCAGGTATGGCTTGGTGACCAAGACCTGGTGGCCCAGGAGAGGACCTCAGCACCTCCTCCCAGTGCTGGCTGGTGTGGAGGACTGGGAGCAGCAGCCAGGGCTGTACCAGAGCATGCCGAGGAGTGGAGTGGAGATGCAGCCTAAACCACCCGAATCTCCATGAGATGATCATGAGAGGCAAACGACTCCATGGCATTTTTTACCTTGGTTGTAAGTTCTGTGTGATCTGGTGTCAGACCTGCAGAGGCGTGCAGAGTATTCTGACACATGGCTTGCCTGTGTGCTTGGGAAGCCGATGGCTAGAAACCTGAAACCTGAGGGATGCACTGGGACGGGGCCGCTGGCTCATCCCACCCGCAGGGGCTGCCATACTCACCCTCACCGTTGCTGAGGGCTCCGTTCTGTTCACTGTTCGGGGGAGGCTCCGTGACCGAGCTCGTGATGGAATGGCTGAACACCTCCTTCTCGGAAGGCTGCAACACAGACCAGGGACCGCTGCTCAGAATGAACCTTCACATGAACACACACGCAAGCAATTTCATTCTCATCTCCGGAGCTCTGACCCACAGGTATTATTGGCAGGAGAAGCAAACCATGCCAACTAGATTCAAAGATTTAAGTGTCTGTGTTTACAGATGTTAAAAAGAAGTAAGTGCAAAGATGTCCAGCGTGATGTCCTTTTCAAGCTTTACGGTAATAGACATTACTATGGCTTTAACCCGTGAGAAGACAGCATCTGACAAAGTGTACACTGCCTTGGGCTGCAAATGGAGTGAGGGGAAGGCTGGAGTGCAGTGGTGGCAGAACAGGCACTGAGAAAGTGCAGATTATCAGGATCTACACAAATTTTCCTCCTCTTCCCCCCTCTGCAACTTTTAAAGTTTCCCATGGTCAACCATCTCAAAATTCCTGAGCTATTCTCTAATCTGTTGTATTTTGCAAGGAGCTTGGTACAAACCAACCACAAGACAGACACAAGCTGCCAGAAATAAATACTCACCACATTCATCAGATTTTCATGATCTCCATTCTGACTTTTGGCCTTCTTTTCCCTTAATGAAAAAGGCACATGAATTTTTACTACAAATTATGCCAATATACAAACACCAATCATTCATAGACCTTACACTCCTGCAGGGAACAGAACTATGATTCACAATAATATTGAAAATGGAATAACTGAAAATTGTTACAGGAATTGGTGTGACCTCTGTGTAAAAACACCATTGAGGCAGAATAGTGATAAACATAACTGAAGAGGTACAACAAACACACAAAACTCTTCTTCTCTCTCAACGTAAGATCACAGTGAGAAATGACTGATGGTTATTACAATATAGTATAAATAATTATGTAGAGACAGGACATGGGGGAATGGCTTCAAACTGAAAGGGAGTAGGTTTAGATTAAATATTAGGAAAAAATTCTTTACTGTGAGGGTGGTGAGACACTGGAACACATTGCTCCAAGAAGCAACTTCTGGTAGATGCCCCATCCCTGGCAGTGTTCAAGGCCAGGCTGGATGGGGCTCTGAGCAATCTGGTCTAGTGAAACGTGTCCCTGTCCATGACAGGGAACTAGATGATCTTTAAAGTCCCTTCCAACCCAGGCCATTCTATGACTCTATGATAATAAAAATATTATTCTTCAATTTAATAATATCTGAAATTCTCAGATATACATCCTGGTTACAGACTACTTAGGAAGTCCCTTAAACTGTGTCAGAAAAAAAATGTGTATCCTATGAGGAATTAGAAAAGGCCAACAAAATCCAGATAACTAAAAATGCTAGTCAAATTGATAATAAGCATGAGCAGTTCAAAAAGGCATACAAATTTCACAGCAGCAGAGGACTACAGTTTTAAAGGAATCCCACTTCCCTGGGTCCTTCATAGGAGTCTAAGTATGGATCACATTTCCAGTTTTTACCATTTGGGAAATAGAGCTCTTGTTCAGAAATACTGCAATAAAGTATGAGTTTAAAATAATGTTAGTCCTTCCCCTAGATGAAAATTCAAATAAAAAGGTGAGAAAATATTGACAATATGAAATTTTTGCTTCTTCTAAAGTCTGCAGTGAACTGTACTTCCATATCAGCAACTGTTCAAATTCTACCTAATTGGGAAATAACAAAACAGCAAGTGAGCATGCACCAATGAAGAGCAGAGAAAGTTAAAAGCTGAATTTCCTCTCTGGAAGTTTTTCTGACTCTGATATTTTAGAAAGAGCAAATTTTATTCAGTTTTCTATGTCCTCATCCATTTTTGAAGAGTAAGCCAGGAAGAAATTCTGCACAATTGCATTTATGCATAAACAACCTGCCATACAGAATGACCTGAAACAAAAGATATTATGTCCAAACTAGCAACACAAGAATTTATTAAAAAACATCACCAGAATATTTCAGGCAATGTATCTCTGTAACTGTAAAGATTACTCAGTGGTTTGACCCATCTTTCTAGAGATGTTTCAAGGATTGGTGTGTTACAAAACATAGAATTATAGAATTATTTGGGTTGGAAAAGGCCTTAAAGATGATACACAGTACCTAAAAGTAATGTTTGTGGGCTAAAAAATATTTAAAATAGACTTTTTACTTTTAAATAAATGTAAAAAATTCTACTATTTTTTGCACAGATATCACAGCAAACTGTGACAATAAGAAGATACTGAAATGTCAACTTACAATTTACAAAAGTGTTTCTCCTGAATCACATGAAATTACACATTCTAACTTAGGCTTTTTAGGGTTTCAACCAACTTTGGGACCTGTTTTTGCCCACAACTGTTTTTTTGCATGCTGGGCTTTAGATAAATCCTGATGAAAAACAAACCCTTCCACTATAGACACATTTTGTGCCAATACAGTGCATTTTATGGCTGCACAATTTCCTCAATGTTCTCAAAGCTGGAGGGACGAAAGCACATGCTCCTTACAGACATATGCATCCAAACTGCAGATTTTGCTGCTGTCCTGGATTTTTCCCCCATAGTGAAGGGTCTGACTGCTCTGCCTGTGGAAGGGCACCATGGACGGACTGCAGGCTGCCCAGCTTCCCTGTGCAGTCAGCAGGGCTCAGCTTACATGTCATGAAGGAGCCTTGAAACATGCATAAACAAAGCCAGTAGAAGTGCCTCTATGGGTGAAACTGAATCCTCTTATAGAGAAGAAAATAAGGATAAGGCGTAAGGCATTAATTAGTACCACTGTTTGATCCTTACTCATTTTTGCATGAAAGGCAGGAGCAATACTATATTCCCTATGCTTCAGGAATGGCCACAGCAAAGCTGAAGTACATAATCACTTCCCTTTCCTTTTTGCCTAGACTTTTTTGGTCCTGTTTAGCCCACCTGACGTTCTCAGTTTCAGCTTAGGGGTGTGATTTGCTAACACTCAGTGTCTACCTGGGCTCCAGGCTTCTGCTTAGAGGAAACCACTGAATAAACACAATTGTGTATTTCCTTCACAGCAAAAGAAAAACAGAATTAGATTTTAGAATGAATAGAACTGTTCAAACTGAAGTTTGCTTTGCAAAAGGTACCTTTCTTTTTTAATTTCTGTACCTCAGTCCTAAGTATTTCCCGCTAACAATTTATACATGAAGCTATGTCCAAAGTGAACCATTAAGCCCTGGAGCCTTACCCATTGCAGCTGGAGCAAAGGAAGATGAGGAAGGTGAGGAACAAGAGTGTTGTCATGGCTGCCAAACTTCCCCACAGGATTACGTGGATCTGTCCAGTGCCTAAAAAAACACCCTCTAGCCCCATGGTACTAGCAGGAGCTGGTATCACTTGGGGTTGAAGAAGTTACTCCTTGAAGAAGACTGACATCTGTGCTGCATGCACCTTCTGTTTCTGCAGAAGGAAAGAAAAACACCATCAGACGTTAAGAGAAATTTTGAAGATAATGAATCTGACAGCTACAAGTCTGGCAGGAGAGATTTTCAAATCCAGATCTTATGAAAACCAGTTTCAAGTACGAGCCAGCCAGCCAGCGAGATTTTCAGCTACATTTCTGACAGTAACATAGAACAGATTTGTCAAATATTAACACAAGCTGTTACCTATCTACAATCTCAATATTAATAAAAGGTAGTACAGCATCTCTGTACTTGGATCTTCAGGCAAAGATTTATAAATCTGCTTTGAGGGCCAGAGTAATCTATTTTGTGGTTATATTTGCAAATTTCATTGAAAAGTGAGCTTCTGAAACCACCTACAACTTCTGCAAAGTTAACAAGCCAAAAAGAGAGCTGCAGCAAGCATTCACCTCCTCTCTCTCAGTCCCTCCTGCCTACATGTAATTCGAGGCTTAAAGTGCAGTGACAAATAAACTAGGTAAGTCTTCAAAAGGAATACCACAAAAACCTTTCTCACAGCAGATAAGATCCAGTCTTATTTCTGTGTGACATGCTTATTTTCTTAATAGTATGTCTGGAGAGTAACAATACTGAACTTTCTTTTTTAGCTTCTCCCCACCTGAGTCTGAGAAAACAACAGAGCAAAGTAAACAGGGTGGTTTTTAAGAACCTGAATAAACACAACTTTTGCTAGAGCACAGCAGCTCAAGGGGAATACTCCTGGGTAAACCTTACTTGTGACATACAAGTTTTGGTACAGAATATATTCTAAAATTCTGTACATACATTTAATGCAATACATGGTTGACATGGCAAAATTAAAAAGAAGTTATTAATTCTTCACTGCTGAAGGTATCAATTCCTCCATAATTTGAGAACAGGTTATGCAAAGCCTATTTACAGGCTTTCAGGCTGACTTGATTGATAAAAACTGAAATAGAATACAATGGCTAAGAAATGAGCAGATGTAATTTGGGAATGAAAAAGTAGCACAAATATAAGATTGACAATGTCTAAAGCCACTAATGACTTACTTTAATGCATCATTTTCATAGATTTTTTTTTGTATAGGAAATATGTATGTACCTATATTTATTTCTTTGCAGCAGAAACAACCTTTGTAAAAACAAATTCAACTAGGAACTAATATCATACTCGTATACAAAAATATATCAGCATTTTGTTATTAAAATCTTATGAGAAAAGATTTATTTCCAGAAAAAGGCCATTCAGATCAGAGTAAATCTGGTAAATCAGAGAAGATATCAGTTACACATAACAGCTAAGTTAGGTGACTGGGTAGCTTGGGTACCTCTTACAAGTAATATTTCTCTTCCTGCCTAACATGGACTCATTAATTTCAGCCATGAAGGATCAGACTTCTGAAGACCTTCCAAGAAGAACCTTACTAATTTATCCACAGTGGATAAATCCTTTTTTAAAAAACTTTTCCCTTTAGATAATAATGGCATTGGTTATAAATTGAAATAGGAAGAAACAAACAAAAGATGAGAAAAGCTGCTGATCCTGAAAAGACCAATTTCAAGGTTGTCGTGGTTTGACCCGGAAGTGAAGTTTTGGGAAGTTATGGTCAAACCAATCAGTGGCCAAATTTTAAACTGACGCCTGGTGTGGCCACTGGGGACTTGGATACGCCTCTGAGAACACACAGGGGTTAAAAGCAGAGCACTCCCAGAGAGACTTCCTCTTTGGAGTCCGGCAGGTGAGCAGATCGGACCTCTCCCCTGCCCAGCTGCATCTGGGTGGGGGAGGGGGAGGCAATGCGGCCTGAGAAAGGGAAAGCCGGAGCTGCTGCAAGATGCAGGGGTGGGAGCACTGGACACAGAAAGAAGATAGTCACCATAGCAGATTTCTCTTCGAGCAGCTGCTGTGTGTGACATAAAAGCACAGAAGTTCTACTGTGTTTTCTAGGGAGGCCCATGGTGCAAGAAGAAAGCTCCTCTCTCCTGATGGACTGGGGGGGGGTGCTTGTGTGAAAGAAGGTGTAGCTAAATAATTTCAATTTGGGCAAGAAACAAGAAAGCCAGACATTGTGCAACTTCTCCAATGCCCTAAAAAGACAGGAAGAACAGGTGCCACAGACCTTGGCAAAGCACAAGCATCTTACTGGTAGTCTTGAGCACTGACACCCAAGAGCCAGCGCTCTTCAGCGGTGACCACTGCCAAGCAATGTGCCTCTCTGGTTATCTTGGCACAGCCTGGAAAATTAAACATTCAAAAGCAATGGCAGATCACTCTAAAAATTATGTATACAGCAGATGACACAGCTCTGCCTCATCCCTATTTTAAAGCCCAGGTTGGGTTATTTCTACTGTGAGTCACAGTCATAGCACTGACTGTGAAACAGAGAGACCTTAAGGGAAACCGAATCAGGTTTAGTCAGGAGAAAACTTGGTGTAATGCCCACAAAGACCTCTGTGACGTCTTGCAAGGGCACTGTGCATTGGTATGGATTCCTGTAAAGGTGATGGAATGTCCTCATCTAGAAAACATTACAAAGCACACTGTGCTGACTGCCTTAACTGGCTCCAAGCCCTTGTTAAGATAGTTGAATAGAAAGTACGAAAGTACTTCCCTTTAAAATTTTTGTTTTTCGTGAATTTTCAAAGACATTTTCTGCCCTGCTAAAGCTCAGAAAAAATTCTTTAAAAATATTTTCATTTCTTTTGTCCAATCCTTTTGCCTTCAAAACCCTCTCATTTTATTTTTTCCTTTGAAAAAAATGTTGAAATAAAAATGGAATGTAAAAACAAAGGAAACGGAACAAAATAATTTTTCATCATTTTTGTTGTCTTTTCTTCCATGGTTTTCCCCAAAAATAAAAGAATGAAAAATGCAAATGAAAAAAGGATTTTTTTTTCAAATACTGAAATAAAGAAGAAAGATGGAAGGAAGTAGTGGGAGGGAGGGAGGAAGGGAGGAAGGAAGGAAGGAAGGAAGGAAAGAAGGAAGGAAGGAAGGAAGGAAGGAAGGAAGGGAGGGAATAGGGATTTAAAGTCTTTTTCTTAAAACAGAAACACATTTTTATTTTCTTTTAGAGCAGACACAAACCTATCTTGAATGATATGTAAATTATTTCTACTACTAAGTTCATAATTTTGTATCTACTCTGAAGTAGGATACTATACTCTTAGAAGACTAAGTAATGTAACTTAAACGAATACTGTAAGGAAAGTGGTTTTTAAAAATTCTAAATATATATTCTTAGGTTTCCAGGACTTTAAATAAAGATAAAATTTAAGCTAAGAAAAGTTAAGGATACATGGGGAGCAGCCCCATGGAAAAGCTCTGTCTTTGAAGGCTTCAGTACAGAGTTAGGAACTGTTGGTCTGAGGCAGAGCAGATGGAGCTCAGACTGAACTTCAAAAGGAGTGAGATCAGAAACAGTCAGTCAAGGAAGATCTCTGCGTGTGATGTCAGGAGTGAAGCACAAGACTGATGCTACACATGAGGCATCCCACCAGGCAGAAGTCAAAGCAGCAAAGACCAAGGCCGAAAGATGTAGTTAATTTACAGGAGACCAGCACAAAATGCTTTGACTATATGCTGAGAGAAAGAGGTCAGAAAAGGACAGACAAGCACAGTGGCACTTGAACCAGCAGAGGTGACTGCTGCAGACACCTGTGCAAGCAGAACAGAGAAATAACTAGGAACAGACTGATGACAGGTGAAGCCCTGAACGAAGGAAGCTGGGCAGGCAAAATGTGACAAGTGATTCCCCTTAGCTCCTTGAACAGCAGGAGTTTAGCATAAGTGCTAAAGGACCTAGAATCTGCTCAGCAGACATGACAACCAGAAGTAAATACAATTATAACACAAAAACATCTCAGCCTTCCAGCACCTAAAGGGGACTTAGAAGAAAACTAGTGTGAGGGACTTTTTTTTCAAAGAGCATGTAGTGATAGAACAAGGGGAAGTGGCTTTAAACTGAGTAAGTTTAGACTAGATCTCAAAGGAAATTTTTTTACAGTGAGGGTGGTGAGGCACTGGAACAGGTGGCCCAGAGAAGCTGAGGATGCCCCATCCCTGGAAGTGTTAAACACCAGCTTGGATGGAGCTCTGAGCAACAGTGTCTAGTGAAAAGTGTCCCTGCCCTGGGACACTTTTCACTGAGTGGAACTGGATGAGGCTGAAATAATATTCATCCACGCTGGGGAATATTCCAGGAGAGCACTTGGAATGCTTGAAGCTGGACCAGCACCCATCAACTGCCCCAAGCAGCCCTGGACAGAAACCTGGCAAAGACATACATTGAAAACACAACTGCCTGAACTCCCTCTGCTTCCACTACATGAATGCCTGGACATTAAAACATCAATGCCTAATACCTTGGATTTAGGATATGCTCCAGGGGCTGGCTTTAAAGAGAAACTTATTTGAAATTATAATGATGGAACAACAAGCAGTTAATTTTTAAGAGCCTTCTGACAGCTGAAACGATTAACTCCTGCTTTTACAACAGAAAGTGATATTGTGCTGCCCTCTGGTGAATCTCTGTTCGGGGTCTGGGATTTGTGGCTCTTATGAGGGTGCTTCAGAGCTTGGTACTAACTCTGCTGCTACAGATGGAGTTCAGTGGGGCCCTTCATCTGTCAGGCTCAAAACAGTCCTACCTCCACCCCTGGAAGTCTGTCAGACTCAAGTAGTTCAACCTTGCAGACAGACACTGCTGAGACAGAATAGTGGTCAATGGAACTGTTTGGGGTTTTTAAAATGATTTTCCTGCGTGACAGCCCTTTAAAGATGAAGATTTCTTCCACTGTACCCTTTCCACAGAACTCTGCACACAAGTTTTTGGGGATGCTGAACTCTTAAAGAGAATAACAGAGAAAAGCCTGGAACATGAGGGTAAGAAACCTGGCTATTTTGTCTATGGCAAAATCTAAACAATAGTCTGCATTCACATTTCAAAGTCACTACCAGTTCAGAAACCTAATCTTTACACTATATTGCATAAAATTTCTTCTTCTTGTT